CTTAGGTAATTAAAATTCTTATTTCACTAGATGTCTTGATTCAAAACCATTGAATTCAGTGGGAGGTTTTCTGTAGTCTTTGAATCATACTTACTGAGGAGATAGTAAGCTTACTCATGCACAGTTTTACGAATAGGCAGGTATTACAGACAGCATTTTGAAACAGCAGTGAGACAATGTTTAACGTTCAGTGTTAAGGTATAAATGAACTGAAAAGTTGAACACTGTTTACATAGCAGGTGTTCCTCTCATGGAGACATTTTTAGTGGACCATTTCACTTGTCCAAGTTTATTGACTCTTGTCAGATTTTTCATCTGAACTTCTGTGTCTGAAATGTTCTATATATTTTAGTTTTAAATTGTAAAGGAAATTTTGATATGGGTCTCTTAAGTGTCTTCAGAAATGTTTGATTTAATATTCGTCCCTACTAAATACAAAAACACAGACTAGATTTTATCTTTTATCTGAAAAGCATACGGAGGCTTAATCTTGCAAACACCCAAATGTGTTTAGTTTTAAAATTTTGAGAATTTCTGTTGTTTTTCTAGTGCTTCACAGAAGCTTTAGAAGAAATAATCCTGAAGGTCATTTGCAGAAATAGAGACTTTCTGAAGCCTGTGCATTTTTAGCTGTATAAAAGGGCCCTGCCACGACAAGAGGAATTGTTTTGAAACCTAGGCAAATGACTAAAGAGTGTCAGAGTGTAACCAGAGGGGGAAGAACTATGCACCTCTTTTTCTCTTCTGTTTTTTTGTCAGAGGTTGAGTGTACAAAAGAAGCTGGATCTAGATGTCAGTGGAATGAGGACTGTTTGCCTTCCTGCTTTATGAAAAAGGGTTACATCTGGGACACTTAACTCAAAGCTGCTTTAACTGATTTAAATGTTCTTAGCATGTTGCTTTGCATGATAGCTGCCTTGGATAAAAGGTCAGTCTAACCCAGTATCTGTTCTCCAACAGAGGGCAACATCAGACCTCTAGTAAAGATCTCTAATCTAGTATTGGGTTCTGGTTCTTGAAGCTCCAGGCTAAGGTCCAGTCCAGGATACTGGTGTTATATAGACACTTAATAGTAGCATTTAATCATTCTTCTGTATGTTTTGGAAATCATATCAGAACTTTTGAACAGCTGTTGCTTTTGTAGGAGTAAAGTGTACCTTGAGTGAAAGGCTGCTCTGATGAGAATATGTTTAAGTGCCTAAATAATTGCCACTAACTTCATGGCATTTTTGTTGTTTTTTTAAAATGCTTTGAAGTATAACAAGTATTGCCAATACTTATTTTCAGCAGCATGAACAAAGTCCTCTTATTCCTTGGTGTGCAGCCTGTAGATCCTCTCTTTCGTTCTCAACCAAGCTCTTGACAGCTATAGACTTCACCTCAATTTCATAGTGAATCACTGTATTGAACAAGGGAAAGGAAGCTGTTCCTGGTCTTGTGAAGTGAGGCTGAACATGAATGGGGCTTCATGATGTGACTGGAGCTTCACAGGAGAACGCAAAGCCATTGGGCTGCCAAATTTTACTAGCATTTGCTGAGGGGGAGTTTTCGTTGTTAATGACACTGGGCAGCAGATGGTCTTAGAAGAGTTGTTAAGACACTGTGGATCGTACTGTAAATATGTGGGTGAATGGAACTGGGATGCTGACAGTTCACTCTCTCAGCTCATCATGAGAAGGTGACTCGAGTGGAATTCAGTATTGCCAGAACATGAATTTCTTGGTATTTGGCAGTCTGCTGTATAGCTGGAAAGAATTTTGCAACATAACAGCGGAATGGTAGTCAGGATGCACTTAGCTGTGTAAAGTTCAGAGCAGAGAATGTTATATGCCTGGTTAATTTTGTTTGACCACTGCCCATCTTTAGACCTGAAGGTACTGAGCCTGTGCAGTTCATCTACAAGACCAGTACAGAACTTAATTTAAGGCTTCTGTTTTTCTTTTGAATCCAAGAGAGAATTCTTCACATTACAGATGAATCTGAATTGTTGAACCAGGTATTACAGGAAGAAGTCCTCTCCCTGTCCACACCTTAAGACCTGCTCTTCTGTTTTTCCCTTCTCACAAAGTGTCTCCAGCCCCTTCATCCAAACCGAAAACCACAATTATGGACCGGGACTTTTTATTTTGATTTAGTAGGGTGAGATACAAAATATTTCATCCAAATTCTTTGCTAAATTTTTAGCCTTTTTTCTCATTTCATCTAAAACCTGTGCAGCTTTTAGTATGGCTTGACAAACATAATGATAATTATGTTATCTTATGTGTGAATTAAGAATCTTATGTGTGATTCACATGAAATACCTTTTATGAGAATTATACAGCTATATCAGAAACTTAGTGGACAGTGTTCAAGGACACAGTTCCTGTTGTTCACCAAGAACACTTACAACTGCCCTGACAAAAGAAAACAAAATTAAAAACCTCTACTGAATTAGCCAGTGGAAGTTTAGTTTTTGCCTGTGTCTGCAAGTGGGATGAACAGATAGAACTTCAGATTTTTCAACTGTGTAGTTACCCACTGAAACCAGGATCCTCTTTGATGCTGTGATCTTCAGTGCAAGTGTAATCTTCTTGAGTCTTCATCTTCTTCCTTGAAATGATTCTTCTCTCCGCAGCCTCCAAGCTTAAGTGAAAGTGAGATAAAAGATTAAGAATTCATTTATTCTTACAGGAGGAAACAAGCTTGTTGGACAGGTATTTGAAAGGGCACTTCTGCTAAATCAGTCATTAATTCAACGTAGCTCAGTAACTGGATCCAGCTTTTTGCTTTGATGTCTCTGTCAGGCTGCTTGCAGGGGATTTGTCCCTATCTTGCTACTGTAGTTACTTTGTGATACAGGAGTTTGTTAGGTAACTAAATCCACTGTGAGTAGGACTGGCTAAATTTAAGGTGCCCATTAACTAACACTCATTCAGCCAAAATGCACATAAGGTATTGTTTTTCCTCGTATGAGGGTAGCACTAACAAACTATCTCTGTTGTCTGGCAGTTTCTGTAGTCCAGCTTCACAGCAAGATTAATAAACTTCAGAGGCTTTTTGTCTTTATAGTGGTAGTGTTGTTCCTGATGTAAGATGTACTTTTTTTAGTTGGCTTTGAGTAATTTCAGCACCTTGGATAACAGCTTCTTAAATTAACATCTTGCAGTGGTGCTCAACTGGAAATACAGAATTGAAGAACAGACAGCTAAACTGACTGTAGGTTTGGTAAGTCTGGCCTCCTGGATTTCAGGCTCTTGTTCAGAGTTCCCACAACAGAGCTCTACATTACATTTAGCATAACTTGTGCTGTTAAGTTACACTGTTTTGGTTGTTTTTTCCAGGAGCGCTTAATCTTTTAGGCTGTCAAAAAGGCTAAAACCTTCATACCAGATTTTTATTAGTTGTATCAGCAGTGTAACTTCAGGAGAATTGTATTTGGTGTCCCTCTGTATTGTTTAGGCTTTGACTAAACTAAACCCTTTGTTTGTTAGTACTTCTGATTCCTGGTCTTGCATAAGCATAGTATCTGACTGAGAAGAGCAGAGACGTGGTTTGCCGTTGTATCTCATCAAAGTCAAATTATAAAGTCTGATTCCTGAAAAGAAAACATTTTAATAAGGGCAGTTACTGTTCTAGTGAAATATTGAAGCTGGAAACAGCTGAATTATGTCAATTAAAATCCTCAGTTAACTTCTGTTAGGGAATAATTTAAAACAACAATAGTAGTTGTACTAAAGTAACAAAGTACTGTCACTTTCTCAAGGCACATAATTCTTGCTATCATTGAATGACATATCCACATGGACCAGTTGGAAAATGCCACAAAGGGAGGGCTTTTAAATGTTCAGATTTGCCTTAATGACTATGTAAAAAAATCTGCTAAAAATCTCATGCAATGAATATGACCCTTAATAGTAATATTTATGTAGTGTAATTGGAGTGTTTGTTAGGGATTCCGTTACTGGGCACAGTGTAATTAGACTTATAATCTAGTAAATGTGACATACTATAATGTTCTGCTTTGTAAACATTGACTCCATTTTGAGACTGAGATTGTCTCATGCCAACAAATAAAAGAAAATCATGGCATCATAAAATCTTCTAATTATTTAGATGTGCACTCTATGTGTTCCCAGTGCAGTCAGAATTGAGACTGAGCCAAGGTGAATATTGAACACAGGTGCAAGCTTCAGTGCAAGTGATTTGCCAGCCTCCTTTTATGTAAACCTCATCTGTCTGCTTAAATCTCACTAAGTTTTAAGGGGGAGAAGATGCAGATCTGCATAGTTTTTTAACCTTGTTTGCACAGGCATAGTCATATTGCCTTCTGCCTTATTTTTCATGTTTCTAAATAATACCAGATATTGATTTGTTGGAAATCAAATGTAGCCATGTATGTATATTGATCAGTTATTTACTCATGGGTGGTAACTGAAAATGGGCTTGGCTAAATAATTCATCTTCTGGGGCTGAACTTAATTTTTCTGTATCTTAAATGGACAAGAACTCCCATACTGGATGATTTAAGCAGTAAGTAGAATGAGTTCACATTTGCTGTTAAAGACCTTTAATAAAACTGCTGTTTTGGTGTAATTACATAATTTGGTGGGGTTTTTTTTCGGCTTAATGAAATGATCTAAAACTCTTAGGCTTTGCTCTTTTGAGACCTGTGTGTACTGTATGAACTTGGAGGATGGCCTGCTTCTCTTTATTAGTCTATGAGAGCATTTATGAGTCGTCCTTGCCTCTCACTGCAATGGTCTGTTAGTCAAAATATCTTGCAATACTGGCAGTAATTTTCAGAAGAGCACAAAGTGACTGCTCTCAGCAATGAGAATGGATTCCAGATAGAAGGCTTTTTTGATACCAACTTTGCTTTTATTGCAGTAGCTGTTAGATGCTGTTTCTACTGTCAGCCACTGTACATACAAAGAACAGGATAGGTGCTAGTGGTGTCTGAAGTCTGTCTAGGTAGCTTGCTCTAATTGCAGTGTCTCACTGTGAATTCTTTCCCACAGCTGTGCCAGCAAACATTGCAGACCTGAGAAACATAGAAGTGCTCAACTTTTTCAACAACCAGATTGAGGAGCTGCCTACACAGATTAGCAGCCTTCAGAAGCTTAAACACCTTAATCTTGGGTGCGTATTGTAATGCAAAAATTTGCTGTGATAGAGGTACTGTCAAATGTTCTCACCACTGAACCTGGAACTTCTTACTTTTTGCTATTGAAAGTTCTTGTCGGAAGTGTTTGTAGGATAACTTGGCAATTATGGCTTCAGAGTGTTTATCTAGTGTCCTGGATAATTGGATGCTTATGTGATCAAGCACTGAAATGGCTATACCAGTGTACCAGAGTTAAGGGCTACAGCAACTCACATTCATCTACTACTGAAGTAAAACTTAACAATTATTGAATTTTACTTCACTAGCAACTCTTTTAATTCTGTTGTTGCTGCTTCAGTGGAGCTGGTGATACTTTATAATTGCAGAAGGTTTTCTTGAATTAAGAAAGTAAATGTGAAACACAGAACCTTCTTTATTAACTGGGCATATTATAGTGCAACTACTTGAGAAAGCACTGGTAGGAGTAAGCTCTAGTTGTACAGCCTTATCATAGAAAAAATGTTTGTATTTTATAAATCCAAACTTCTGAACACCTTAAACTGAGGATTTTTTACTACTTTAAATATCAAAGGATTTTGGCTAAGCTCTCTCTATCCTGCTTTAGATACTTTTGTAAAGTGCTGATAATCGAACTGCATCTTGAACTGTTGAATGCCAATAAATGTTTTCATGATGAGCTGTTGTCTTTGGTCTTTATGTGGTTACTTTAGATCTCTAGCATGTCTTAGTATTTGCTTGAATCTGGAATTGCTTTTCAGAGCAAATACTATTTCATGATCAGGATACTATGTATCTTAGGGGTTGAGTCCACTTTTTTGGAATTGCATATAGATGTGTTGCAGTATATGGAGGAAAGAAGTTGGGCTCTTTCCTTGGATTAAAGCAGTGACAAGCATTAGCGTAGTTCAAATACTGGTCTTCATTAATGGGAAAAAATGCAATATAAAAGTCCACTTGGTTAAGATCAGCAGACGCTTAGGTCTGGAACCACAGCTGCCACCTTCTTGTAGCCCAGGATCTTGTAGTGCAAATGCTCTTCTTTTTTAATACTCTCCTTGCCCATAATATTCAAGGTGCAGGATTAACAGCCCAGCTTTAGCTCTGCAAAATAGGTTCTGCTTCAGAGGTCTATGAAGTCAGTGAAGAAGAAACTGTTTCTGCCCCAGTAGTTTGCCAGGGGCAGCCCAGAAACCCTCTTGTTACCTGCAGTGCATTGAACACACAGGGCATCAAAACAGTCCTCTGGGGCAGAAGAAAAACTTGAATAAATGCTTGGATTATTCTGGGGAGGAGTTTGGTGCAGAAGGGTCAAATGGTGGGGTGGAAAGTAGGAAGGTGTACTGCTGCACTGGAAGATTAAAAGAAAAATTAAAAACTTAGAAGGCAGATGTGGCCTGGTTGCTGTGGTACAAGCTCAGTGTTTGAACTTCTGCAGGGCTACATAGCATTGGGCAAGGCCTTTCAGCTGATTCTTTTTCCATGCCAAAGAATAGATAACTTGCCACCTATTGTCAACAGAGAGAATACTCTTTCTCTCCTTTCTTGCTTACAGAATGGAAGGCTGTCAGGACCACTTATTCTTCTTGCTAGTGAAAGAGGAGCTGCTTTCTTTAGTCCTGTTTGATATAAAAACATTTTTATAAACAGTGACAAGTCTGCAGTAGTAGTAATGGAGAATGCCTTTCTGTATTTTAATAGCTGCTACTACAGCAGTAATACTAGGTGAATATCCCTGGTGGGACTTCTTATAGAGGATAAGAAGGAAGAAGTTTTCATCTACAGTTTAGCTACAGAGGGTTGATCTATACAGGATCTTGTTTTAGTAGGGCTGGCTTATGCAAAAGTGGGAGAGGAAAGATGAGGTTAGTATGTGAGAGCTGTAAAATAAATGTTATATGCTACTCCTCTGCTCACGTGCAGTTGTCATGCTTAGTCTGGAGGTGCAGCTGCTCTTGTGTTTAATTCAGTGCCTGAAGAACTTTTATAAGAGATTTTCTGACCTACAGGTGTATTTCATACTATCTATCACATAGTATAGCAAGTGTTGGCCAGGTCTACTGGAGGGTGGTGGAGCTATTGACAAGCGCTGCTTTAGTAGAAGCAAATTGGTTGCAAATACTTCATCCCTGGTGGTGTTCGAGGCCAGGTTGGACAGAGTCTTGAGTGATATGATTTAGTGTGAGGTGTCCCTGTCCATGGCAGGGGTGTTGGAACTGGATGATCTTAAGATCCTTTCCAACCCTAACTATTCTATGATTCTATTCTATGAAGTGTTTAACAAACATTACACGGGGGAGGGAAGGCCTTAGAAATCAGAGTTCTTTATTACTTTGGGGTACCTAATTTTGTCAATACTTTGTTTTCAGTGTTTATTGTTGCATCACGCTCCATACGTTCACATTATATCTTCTCTTGACTCCAGTTTTGGCTATTGCAGTTTATCCCTTCTGCATCAGAAGGAGAGTCAAATTCAGAATATGTTTAGAGATGCATGAAAGGCCATGACCATTTCCAGTCATCACATAAGACTAAAAATCCAGTTCTTCAAAACAGCTCCCAGTACATGCTCTTCCTGAAGATGCTAGTCTTCTCTGTTCCACTTTCAAACCCAGGTGACAACTGAAGCAAGATCCATACATGAAGCTATATGTTTGCTGTACATGCAACAGGGATGGTATGAATAATAAGCTGGTAGTTCTTTTGTGTTTGTGTAAGCAGCCAGAGCTCTAGCTCATACACAAACAGTAAAGAGGTTCTATTCTATGAATATAGTCTCCAGTTCGTTGCCTTTCTTTGTCACGGCAGCAGCTCCAGTGATTATCTGGATCACCTTCTTTGAGTCCTTTGAAATCAGAGGGAAGTTACTGTTTTCTGTAGCTTCTCTGCTTCAGGTTATCAGAGAAACCTTTTCCTTCTGCTAGCTTTCCTTGTGTTCTTCCAGCTGCTTTTGTAAACCCTTTAAGACTGGCTGAAAGAGCTCTATTTAGACTAAGCCTCATCAGTCAGAGGACTGACATTTATTTCATGTTCTGTATGCATCAGTAATTATCTAGTGATACAGATTTGCCATTCTTAGGAAGGGCTTTGAGCAGCAATTAGTAGTGAACGTGAATACTGTGCGGTTGAGGTATTCCTCTTTGTATTTGGTACTGTAGTGAAGAACTGTGTGATGTGGTAGAACGGCAGATGGTCAAGACGATGTGCAAAAAGGTTATTTGTAGTTCAGCCAGAAGATAAGTCACCTACCAAGGACCAGCTTTCTCTGTGGCAAACTGCTTAAGCTGAGCATAGTGTTGTGACACCTCTCTCCCTTGTGTTTTGTGAGGTGTGGCTGTTGACTAACCTAACAGACAGGATCCCTTGTGAGTGGTTCAGTTTGGGGCCTATTTATGGGAGAAGAAGATTAAAAAAATAATCTGCATTGCGAAAGTCTTGCTCAGTGTCCTCTAGCATCAAGCCCTTTTCAAAATAAAAGTGAAGTTCGGTGTAGATTGTATTTTTTTGAAATTAAGCTCTTGTTACTTTTATTATTCCTGCTAGGTAAAGTTAATACTGATGTGTTCTGTTTTCTTTTCCCTCTTTACCTGCAGCATGAACAGGTTAAACACCTTGCCCAGAGGATTTGGCTCTTTACCAGCTCTAGAGGTTCTTGACTTGACTTACAACAATTTAAATGAAAACTCTCTACCAGGAAACTTCTTCTATCTGAGTAAGAAACTTTTCTAAAAACTCTACAAATCTTCATGATATGGTGCTTTGCTTTCTGCAGTTGAAATTTATTTGATGGAGAGCAAGCTCCAACAGAATTATTGTGATATTCATGTTTTTCTTTGAGTATCTCTTGAATATGTCTACATAGCTCAGCAATATTTATCACTGATATACGGTTACCTGACACTATTGGACATGAGAAAAGTTGGTTAGTAATGGTATATTAGTTTTCTTTTGAGTACTATTTCCTTGGGTCCAGAACTCAGTTAAAACTTCATGGAAGCTTGCATGCCTCAGGGCAAAGTAAACTGTTTTGCAAGGCAACTGTTATGTGTTGACTCTGGAAACAGCAGTGTTCCTCATGGTTCATTACTGAAATAGTTTTAACAGCATGTGGAAGTTGAAGTGTCCAGTATGTTAAAAAATATGCTAAGGTTGCAGAACTTGTCACAGGAATGGTAGAGCTAAGCTGACCTTTGCACATATTAAAAGTACTCAGTGTTAAAATAAACGTATTGCAATACATATGTGCAAAAGGGCTGCATTGTGGTTGCCTAAGCAACTTGAATTCTGGCACTTTCTGGATTTCAGTGATTCTGCTACCTTACTGGTCCTTTCAGTATGCTCTGCTGAAGTTGCTTCAGGATCAGTGCATTTAGCAGCAAAAGTGACAGGCGAGGGGAGAGGAAGGAGTGCTGCTGCCTGAGTGATTTTGCAATTGTAACCTGTCAGAGGGAAATTTTTAGTCAGCGTTATTAAAAATGGTCACATTTAACGAAGTGAAAAGAGGAGGAGGAGGAGGAGTAAACTGCGTGAGGCAAGTGGGATCTCCTCTGGTGGGGAGGAGAGGTTTTGCTGACCTGAGCACCTTCAGTTGGTCCTGCACCCAGCAGTTCTTTGTGAGTCTCCATTTTAATTTTTGTTTTCCAAACTGTCATGTGTGCTCGTTCTGTAATAGCAAGCTACATGGTTGTGCTGGGTCATCTCTTTTTCTCTGAATTTCATAGAGACTAAGCATGGAGATTACAAATTTTACAGCATGAATCTTCTGTATTGCTCTCGCTTAAACTCTTCCCTGGCATTAGGCTGTGCTTTTTATAGAGCTTGACATAGATGTTTGTCAAAAAAACCTCAGATGATTGTTTTTAAATGTTTATGATGCAAATTGATTTAATAAATAAGAATCAGAGACAATAAAGAGTAATGACTATTCAGACAGCGAGGCATCAAGACTATATGACAGAACCTGCCAGAGTCTACTATTGTAGAAACTGTTAATTGTGCCATTCCTTTCAAATACAGATATTTTCCTGAACTCACCAACAATACAATAAGCCAGTAAATCTGAGTTTGACCTAGTTGTTATTATTGTGAGCCCTGAGTATGTTAAAGGCTTTTCACCAACTCAGGGTTATTAATCAAACGTGACTCCTTTTTATTGATTAGACCTCAAATGGTTGGGTTATATGGCACCCTGTTTATATATTGCTATTTAATTTGCAGCCACCCTGCGTGCACTCTATCTAAGTGACAACGATTTTGAAATCCTGCCGCCAGATATTGGGAAGCTCACAAAGTTGCAGATAGTAAGTAATTTATCTAAATTCTTGGAAAATCGATGCACTTTTGCAACACTTATAGGAATAGAATCCAGTCAGTTTAAGGAGTAGTAGGGTATGTTTGCAGGAATAGACCATTACACCTGGAACTATTTCTTGTTTACCAGTAGACACTTGTAAAAAATTGGAATAATTGAATGTCTAGGAGAAAGTGACAGGCAGAGGGAGTACAGTTCTGGTTTAGACTGCTTTATGGTAACTGACAATTGTTCTGACTGTTTTATATTCACTCTTAGCTGAGTCTTAGAGACAATGACCTGATATCGCTGCCCAAAGAAATTGGTGAGCTCACTCAGCTTAAGGAACTTCATATCCAGGGAAATCGCCTTACTGTGCTGCCCCCAGAGCTAGGTAAGATTATGGATGATCATTTATTTACTTGAATAATAATAATGACAATGATGCAGTGTGTTTCCTCTGAAATGAAACCAGTTGTTAAAGTCCAGGAAATGATTATACTTAAATTGTCATGGCTGCTAATATGAGGTCTCCCCTGAGAAACACTGACTTTTTTGCTGCTACTGGATATACAGAAGGATCCAGATGATGATGTATGCTTGGTTTTACAGTTTTTTACATGTTGCATTTTCCTTGTCTATTAGTACACCTCACTGCCAGTTTGTACATAGCATCTTACTTTATATAACATATAATAAATATTGGGTCTGCAAAGTTATTCTTGTCTCTGAATGGGTTTTGAGAACACTTTTTGGATTAGTCAAAATTAGATTAAGCAAAAATGACAGCAACGTAAGTGGCTTTTTTTTTTGTGGCTGATGCTGTAAAAATGGAAGTTTGATCAATTAGAGTAAAATACAGCTAAATGAGAGGATTTTTTTCATTTTTCTGTTTCAGTAGCCTGCCTTTCTTAGTGAGGTGACAGCTCTTTCACTTAAAACAGTGGAGCTAGTTGATATATTTTTTGACACTGGCCATTTAAATGTGATTACAAATGGCTTCTTTCCGACCTATGGACTTTTTCTTTGAAACTTATCGACATGCTGAGTTTACATTGCAGTATTCCATTTTATGGGAGGGGCGTTAACTTGAACAGAGGTTTTCCCTGTTTGCCCCAAGCCAGAATTTGGTCTTAAATCTCTTATGACAATCTTTAAAAAATGCTTTTATTCAGAATACTGTAGTTACATCAGTTACTTATTGTTGAAACCTGTTACACAGGTTTGATTCCTTGTTTCATGTTATTGTGGACTGTTACATAGGGAAGCTTCTTTGTTTCTACTTTTACCTTCCAAGTAATAGTTCCCCAAAACTCAGAAAGATAATGACTGAAGTTAGCATCATAAAGCAAAATTATTTATTGTCTTAAATCTCTTATGACAATCTTTAAAAAATACTTTTATTCAGAATACTGTAGTTACATCAGTTACTTATTGTTGAAACCTGTTACACAGGTTTGATTCCTTGTTTCATGTTATTGTGGACTGTTACATAGGGAAGCTTCTTTGTTTCTACTTTTACCTTCCAAGTAATAGTTCCCCAAAACTCAGAAAGATAATGACTGAAGTTAGCATCATAAAGCAAAATTATTTATTGTCATAAGAACTTGCTTCAACCCATTAGAGATTGTGTCAGCTGTGTGCATAAATATGAGAGTCTGCAGTATGTGCTTTTTTGTTTGTGTGCAAAGAAAAGTGCTTTTCCTGTGAGGTGGGGGAAGATGTTTGTTTTGATTCTTGTTTGCCCAACATGGTTCTTTTTTGTCTTTATCAATCTACTGGACTATATGATGCTGAGTATTCTGCCTCTGCTTTTTTGTACCTTCCTAAGTTATGGCTTTGTCTTTTTCTGGATAATGGAAGTTCAGTGCTGCACTGAGTCTAACCAGTCTCTGTGGCTAATTAAGTGTTCTAAACATGCTGCTGCCTTAGAAGCATAACAGCAAATTCACTTTAAATGGTTTTACCATCATCCTCATCTATGCCAACTATCTCAGACACTTAAAAACCCAGATTTGGTGGTGTATTTCCAGAAAACATTGCACTGAAGTCTAGATTTGTAACTTATGCAATTTGCAAACGTATTTACTGTGCAAAGCAATGCTCTTGCTTGTTTATTAAACATCTAGGCAAACAGTTAGGGAATGGATTTTAGTGAACTGAGCGCAAGGCTGGGCTTTGGAGGGATTGTTTGAGGTCAGGTAGGAGCAGGCCACAGGCAAGCATGAAGCTCCTGAATGATTAGAAAAAAATACTTCATCTCTGCAGTCTTATTTTCCCTTCTGCAAACTAAGGCAATTTAGAGAAGCATGCCTTTGCGGACAGTTTTAAGTCTGCCAGTGTAAAGGCTGTAAGTGAGTGTTGCACCCCAAGACATGGACTGCTAATGGTTGCCGTCGGAGGGAAAACCAATTTTATCTGTTGTCTGCGTTCTCCCTCCTAAATTTTTAAAATTGATTTATAATGTAAGAAGAGCTATCCAAATACTTTGTGCTGTGCATGCTGGGTAAATAGCTTTTCAACGAGCAGCTCTTATTTGCATTAATTGGAGATACTGCAGTTCCAGTTAAAGTAAACAATCTTTCCTCTCTCATTATCACTTTCATAATTAAAGGCAGTGAAGGCTTTTGATTGGCACTGGTGGACAGCAATGAGTCATTAGATGTTCATTTACCATGGACATGGGCACAATATAAAAGACCAGAATAAAACAGTATATTTGAATGAGGGGAAGGCGGTGGGGGAGAGTACATGAAGCTGGTTTTTAAAGGTAATAGAAATAAGTGCAGAAGAAAATATGGAGAGTCAGGTATGAGAAGAGGCCACAGACAGGCATTGGGATCCTAGTTCTGGAGTGGAGAGAGATGCCAATAAATTAAACACTAAGTCTGCTCTTAATTTCAACCAGTGAGATTTTTTGTGGCAAATACCAGTAAGAGGTCTGGGGGAAACCAGTATTCTCCTCCTCTTTGTTTATCAGCGAATACCTGTTGCTAATTTAAGATGAATACTGCTTAGAAGGAAGTGCAGGGACTAGGAGAGTACACTGGTGTTCTGGGTGAGGGTGCTTGTCTGTAAATACAGTATGTGTGAGTGATGAACACAGGAAATGACCAGGAGTAGGTGGGTGGAATTTGCAGCTTGTTTTTATCATTTGTCTCTCAAAACCCCGTTCATGAGGAATGGTGGTGGGCAGTCATATATAAACTTTAAAGAGGCACTGGCATTTTTTTCCTAGCGTTTAAAAGGTTATATGCTGCATTGCGAGACAAATAAATCATGATTCACTGCAACAACAGAGTTGCAGTCAGTTATATAAATTGCCAGGGAAGCACTAAATCTGTCACTTTGTGTATTCTGACCGTTTAACAATTGGAACGGTGCTTGGAAAGAAAGCTGAGTAGAAACATGAACCACATAAAAGGGTAGATGCAAATAGCAAAAATCAGTTATAGTGCTTTAAGTTCATTGTATGGTCATCTGGATGTACCCATATGTGCCACGTAAAAGTTTTTCTTATCACAGTCAGGAATGTTCAAAATATTCACAAAGTTGTAGCTAAATATAAATAGCCACCCAGAAAATACAACTAGTGGGTTTGCTGTGAAAGCAAATGGCGTGATTTTAAAACCCCAGATTCTAATGTTGACTGTGTTCTTTATCCTGCTGCCACCACACGTGTGCGCACATACAGGGAGTTCACTCATATTTATGCTTATGGGAAGAACAGTAATTTCTAAGGATGCATTTTTTAATTAGCATCCTCTTTTTCCAAAACCAAATGTTGGCACCAGTAGCTTTTAAGCTTACTGTTCACTCCTGTTCTAGTTTATCAAATAATTTTCTCAGGTAAAGGGAGAAACTGTCAAAACTGTGAAGTTAGGTACTTGCTTGAAAAGTGGAAAATTCAAGCTTTTTTAAAAAGGGAAAAAAAAACCCTTGATGGTGTAATAGCCATGTTCCTCCTCAAGGAGGGTGAAACATTTCATAAATTAAATCTGTATGGCAGAATGGCCAAGTAATTATCATTTTTAGTTTTGAACAGCTAAATTATCTTCTGTGTACAAAAGACTGCCTTTAAATGTGAGGTTCAAGAAATCTTGCCAAGGTCTCCTTATTTCCTTCACAAGAAGGTATTTTAAAGTTTAGGCTTTTGAAATTACTCCAGAATTTGTGAACGAATATTATATTACTCAAAGTAGTTGCTGCAGTTGTTTATTCAAATTAATATTAATCGAAATCGGGGTTTACTTAGGTAATTATAACAGGCATGAGCAAACATCGGAATCACTTATTTCACAAAAGATATTTCTTTTCTAAATATACTTGACGTAAGCGCCAAACTTCTCTTATTTCAGTAAACTGTCATTGCACTCTACCTGTGTCACACCACCATGCTGCTCACCTAGAAATACAGGTCTGCTGCGCTTGTTGGAAGCCTGAGCATCCTGGGGCTCTTTAGACACCAGCTCTGAGCTGGAACAGCTAATTGGTACCTTGCAATTTGAAAGAAAAAAATGCCTGTTTCTACATTTGGAACTAAGGCAAAGGTGGTGTAAGAAAGTAAAGAGCTTTGTAAAACTTCCCAGTGGATAAACAAAGTAACTTGTTTTCTAGGACTACTGATGTAGCAGTTATTACTTTAGGAATAATAGAACAATCTGTGTAACAAAGTAGGTCACAAGCAGATTATAGAAGAAAAGTGTCTCTGAACATTTGTGAGTATTCTAACCGTGGTTTTCATTTCAGGCTTATTCCAAGTTAAAAAAAAAAAAACACAAAAATGCCACAACCAAAACCTAACACTTTTTATGTAGTTGGAGACCAGGCTGATTCCCAAGTACCTGATGGGAGTTAAGGTGGTGTGGAAAGATACAACAACTCTGCAGTTTCATTACACACAGAAAGATGGTTTCTGTAGCCCATCATTTAGATATACACCACAGGAATTCATTTCCTTACACTGCTGCATTTTTTGCCAAGGATTCTTCTCAAGATTGAGATTTGATCTTAACATTAGTTTTTAAAATATGCAAGTCCTACTGTTGCTTCTCAGATGACTACTCTGTGTGTGTAGGCTCTCCTAATGTTGACTGTACTTACCCTGATTATAAGTACCATCAGCATAATAATGATGTCTCTGTCAGCAAATATTTCATCTGTTGGAGCTGTGGAAGGTAACAGAACCATAATTGGAGCCAATCTGAGCAAGTATTATATTTGTTGTTAAATTTGGTTCATTTTACATGTTTCATAGGACTCAAAAGTGGTTTTGGCTTTCTGAATACTTGGCAGCCTGTGTTTGAATGGAAGCTTCAAAGGTGTGGAGCAAAAGCAGTACAGTGCATCCTTTTTGAACTCTCATTTTTAAATTAACTAGATTTTTTGGACCCT